ATTTTAATTTAGCTTTAATTTTAGTATTTACTTTAGTCTTAGTTATTTTATTATCATCTGAGCTTCAATTCTTGCATATAATTTATTACCAGGTAGTTTTATGTAAACTCTTAACTATATTTTACAAAAATAAAGATAGAGGCAAGACCTCACTTCAACCTACGGGTTGAAAATTTAAAAAAAAAAGAAAATTATAAGCTTAATGAAAAACTACATGATATTCAAACAAAGTATATTTATTAATTTTTAATAAATTTTTTTTTTTCCTTTAATAGTCACGTTATAAACTTTATTAAGTTGTTAACTACAGCCATAACCAAGTTACATATGATTTACAAAATCTATTTAATTTCCTAAGTCTGATATCATCTAGCTGCTTCTAGAGTGCTCAGGTGTGATCTGTTGCATTAGCCAAATAGCTAGAACAATTTGTCTAACTAATTCAAAGAAAACTCTACTATTTTACGTCTCCTTTCTTAATTCCTTTTTTAACTATATTCTCTACTAAAGCTATTATTCAACTTTTTTTTTTCCTTTTCCTTCTTTTTCTCTATATGCATCTTTTTCCTTTCTTCATCTGCTCGAGTTTTCACTTTAGGTATTGTCTCTTTGGTTTTGTTTCTTTTAAGCTTCATTATGATTCTTTTCTCTTTTTCCTAAAAAATTACCTTTTCACAACACTAGTTCTATATAACTTTAGCAAAGCTTCTTTAAGTTATAAAGAAAATGCTATCTAACCAGATTCTTTTAACACTTTTTTCCTATGCTAATACTCCTATATCTTCTGCTATTTTCTTTTCTTCAAATCTAATAACTAGCTCTTTAATTCTTTAGTATCGACTTTCTTTATTTTTCAGAAAGATGATCTCTCTGATCTTTAGTAACAGGTTTGAACAGTGGTTTCCTTCAGGTCTAAGCTTGCCAATACTTTCTACTAATGCTTCTTCAATTTGTTCCTATAAGTCTTGTAGAGCTGAACATCTAAAAAGATAGTTAAAGTCTTTAAAAATTACTTTTTTGTATAGAACACAGTAGTCATTTTTATAGAGATCTGGTTTTCATTTTTTTAATTTGCTAAGAGTTGAAAAGCTATTCATTAGATATTTGATCTGTATAATGAGGCACTTACTATCTTTTATCAACAGACAGTTTATTTCTCTTTATTTCTTGATTCTCTGCTATAGCTTTTTCCAATTATACTTTGACATCTCTACAAGCTCATTCTTTTTTTAGTATACTTACTCTGCATTATTATATCTTTTTGCTAGCTTGGTTATAAAGTGTTTAACTAAACTCTCGATTCTATTTGATTTTTATGCTATATCATAGTTAAAGTCTTTACTTTTAACTAAATCAAGGTTTAGAGTTATATATGACCTTCTGCTTTCTTTTGCTAGCCAGTCTGCCTTATTATTCTATTTGTTATTTGTATAGCTCCTAACTTTCTTGAGCTCTAACTCAATATCTTTTTATCTAACAAGTACTGTGATCTTTTCTAGGATTATTCTGTTATCCATTCTAATCTACTTGCTATATTGTTCAGTTTCATAAGCTTTGAATATACTTTCTATTGCTTGCTCGCTACTAGTGAAAACCCTAACTATCATATTACACTATACTACTAGTAAAACTAGCCAAATTCCTACTAATTCTACTTTAGTTGATGACAGCCAGTTAACAACTCTTAAGTTTTCTATACTAATTATACTACTTTCTATCTAATCTATTCTTACCCATTCTACTCCTATATTTTCTCTATCTATTCCTTTATCTAAAGAGTTATCTGTATAGAATTCCAATACCTTCTCGCCTCTTGTCTTTATTACTTTTGCTTCTTCTTTTAACAACATTGCTAAGTTTATATTAAAATTCTGTGCTTCTATTATTTCAAGTTCGTATTCTTCTACAGCTCTTAAACCTGTGAGAAACCACTTGTTTATCTTGATTTCTTAATAGTCTCTGTTTGTATCTATTAATTTCAGTGCAAAGTCTATTATTTTTATTTCTCTATTTATATAATTTTTCAGAATTACTTCTAAAATCTTCTTTTTTAGCTACCAGCCTCTGTACTCTTGTATGCTTTCTCTTTGTTATTTAAGCAACCCTTACATTTCTTTATTTCTTCTCACATTTCTAAATTTTCTTTATTTTTCCAATACTCTATTAGGAAACTCCCCTCTTTTTTCTTTTGCACTCTTCCTATTCAAAGACTTATCGCAGAAGAAGCACATGAAGTTTTAAAAAGATTGCAAGAAGGAAAGAAGGTACTCAACCTTAAAATGGCCAAATATTCCTGCAAATTCTTTACTTGGTATATGTTACCTTGTCATCATATCATTCATAAACAGCTTTGTAGTGATTCTAGTATCCTGATGTCGGAAGTGTGGTACTGCTTTCAAGAAACATTTATAGAAAGTGGCTTGGAGGTATATCAGTTACGTCAGTTAGTAGAAATACCACTAATTCAAAAATCGGATGCTGAAAAAAATGCTGAAAAAAGTCAGCAAGTTATGAATGAATTGTTTGAAAGAACTAAAGATCAATATTATTAATTGGCCAAAAAAAATATAGATGAAGTAGCGAAATTCATTGGAGATTTGAGGAGGTTATTGGAACCCGTAATTGAAAAAAATTAAATAAAATGAACAAATTTTTTTTCACTCAGTAATATAACTTCCACTTCATAATTTAGCATGTAAATAAAAAAAATAAAATTTGATAGAGAATTTTATTGATAATAAAATATACATTATTTAATGAATAATGAATAAACTATTAAATTATATATTTACTGGTAATTTAACGTGCAAGTGAAAGTATTTAATAAAGAATTCTAATGATAAGATGTATATATTCTTTTATGAATAAACTATGTACGTACAACTTACAAACTAATAATTTAAAACTGAGAATATTTGAAATTCCATTGATATGCACATTCTTTTACAAGATAACTACATACAACCTATCATAAGTAGAGATTCTATTGAGATAAAATGTGTACATTATTTTGTAAATAATCTATATGCTTGCCAGTAATAACATGTAGAGACTGAACTCGAGTTAACTTATGACTTAAAAAACATAGTCTTGATTCGAGTTAATTTGAGTTAAGACTATATTTTTTAAGCTACAAGTTGACTCGAGTCCAGTCTCTAATAACACGTAAATAAAGAATTCTATTGATGATAAAATGTGTATTTTTCTTATATTCTACTAATATAAAAAAAAGTAATATTTAATAGTGTTCTCTGACAGGAATAACACATAAGTGAAAGAACAGAGAAAAGTAATATTTAATAATTCTATGGACGATTATATTTACTATCTTACTTGAGAAAATAAGGTTGTTTTGACAAAGAGATTATATTGTCTTATCTCGAACATAAAAGCTAGTGCGTTATTATTTTAGCTAGTTATCAACGTGTTCGAGTTTTGATTGGTCAATAATCATAGAGTCAATTAACTTGCATAACCCAGGGACTGTCAGCTTGATTGATCTGCTCTGCTTTAAGGGACCTCCATATTTGGGGATAGCTAAAGCGGAGTTAGGGTTAGAGTTACTTTTTTGATGCATTAGGTCATTATTTATAATACGTAACGATATTAGATCATATATTAAATTACTGTAACTCATATAGGATAACTTTCTTTTAATTGGTCAATCACTTTCAATTATATTTATACAGTTTAAAGTACTTTTTAAGCATGTAACATATTACAAGTAAAAAATGAAAATTAAACCTGTCTCTATCTTCGAAGAAGCGCCAACAGTCACTAAGCAAAATAATCCCAAATAATCAAGGTACTTTAGTCTAGAATTGCAATAAAGAGAGCAGTTTTAAAATTAAATTAGTTTTAATTTTCTGTATTTGTTTTATTACTAAATTAGTAATTTATTTAATAAAATGAAAGACAAAATTATCTAAGTTAAAAAAAAAATAAATAAATAATATTTAGCTATGTTTAGTAATATTTAGAAAAAGATATATAAACTCTATTTTTTCTTTCTTTTGTAGAATTAGATTTGTCTTTTACAATTTTCTTAATATTAGAATTTTCTTAGTATAGATACTAATAGATAGTCTTGTATTATTAATATTGTATTATTTTTTTTTTTTACGCTTAAGTGATCTTGCCCATCATTTATTAAGAGAAAACATATAAATAATGTTATACAAAATTA